TCCCATTCCTCTGGGACAGTCTGCCTTCATGCTTCAGGACATTAATATTTCAGTAGTTACACTGGAAAAAAAAATTGAACAATGGATGAAACCTAATTATTTTTCTTACGGCTTTGATATGATCTTATCCAGGTTCATTTTCTTATATTCTGTCCTAGTGAATTTCATTATAAGTCACACTTTCCTACCTGAAACATTTCCTTTAAATATTGTACTCAGGAAAAAAACCAACCCTTTGTCTCCTCTTTATGTTTCTTCTATGTTGTGTAACCACTACCACCAAGATTATTGGGAAAAAAAAAAAAAGGAATTAAAATCATGTCTCTTAATGGCCTCTGCTGCCTCCCTTCCCAGCTGTTCTTGCTTATTTTCTTTCTCGTTTCTTTCCTCTGTTTTGTACAGATATCATCTGATGCTGCTCAGCCTTTGGCATCTTCTCCTTCTCTGCAAGCTGCTGCTGAGAAGAGCAAAGCAGAGGTATATTGGTTTTGGGTGTAACTCTTATCAGGTTACTGCTTTGCACAAATGTTTACATCTCTATAATTTCTCTGAGGTCACTTGAGAGTTTGAATTGCTGTTAATACTTCACACATTTGAAATACGTCTCTCCTTCTTTCTTGGAATAGCTAAATGAAAAGAGCCAATACAACTGCAAAGTGTATGTGTGATTGTTACCTCTTGGTGCTTATATGCCAAAATTCTGGTTCTCGTCTGTTTTACTGTCACAAAACTGTGGAAAACCCACTTAATTCCCAGTTAATGGGCATGAGTGATACTGTCCTGTCTCATCAGGAATGATTTCTGATATATTTTTTTGTATTACTTGCTTGTTCCAGATTCTGAATTATCCATATTGTTCCAGCCATTTAGTTCATTCTCCTTGGAGATAAATATAGAATTAATTTGACTCACACTGGTTTTAATATATCTTCTGGCTGGGATATATGTGTATGCTAACACATTCACTGTTTAGATGGGTCTTTGAAAAACATAACACACAAGCAAGTAGTAGATGAGGTATCATTTATGTCAACTTTCAGTAAATGTCACAGTTTGCAACAAAAATAAAATGCATTTTTAGAATGTGAATGTCCAGTGTTAGGTTCTTTTGGATACCTAACTCTAAATTGAGACTCTGCAGTATATTAAATAATTTATGATGTGAACATAAATCAAGCTTTTTCCTTCTAAATGCAGAAAATTTAGATAGACGTTATAAATTATTTTGGTTCAACTATATTTAAACATTAATTAAAATTTAAATGATGGTGTCATGGACTAATACCACAAGCCTTGTTGAAGTGTTTTAAGTTGTACCAGGAGTAGCAGCAGCTGCTAAGAATAAAACTTGCTTTTACTTTCTTGTCCCTCTCTATTGGTGCATTCACATTTGAAAGTTCTGTGTAACTAGTATGCCATGTTATAAGAAATGAAACTTGGAAAAAATTTAATAATCTTTGCTTAGAATTTAAGACCAATATCAAGTCAATTTAATTTTATTATCTTCATAGTGCTTTTTGACTGCTTTTGCAAGTAATGAAACACTTGAGTTGAAGTTCTGGCATGAATGCAACATCTGAGAAATGTTTTTATTTAGTCTGAATTCATTTTTGTCTAATGGAGCTGAGGCAGAAAGCTTGAATATTGAATTCAGGAAGTGTGAAGATGAAGGACTTGTGGGTTTTCAAGTCCATAGTGAAAATTAAATGAATGAAAATAATGTTGCTGGGAATCAAGACTGTTTCTGTAGACTCTGTGAGGTGTGGAAGTAGAAACACAGGAGAACCGTTTAAGTCTTAATATATTCACTATTAAGCTTTCAGAGATTTGTTAGGGGCAACAAGAGGCGTGTATTTATATTTGGTCACCTTTATGGAGTGTTTGGTAGATGAAACTTGCTGCAAACCCTTCTTGAAGTCTTGAAAAATAAATGTTTCCAGATACTTTTTACTCCAGAAGTGAGGTTTCTTTGACAAAACATATTTTTAAAAAATGTTGAAGTCAAATTGGAAATCAGGACATACTGAAAAAATAAGAAAATTTTAACTCTGTTTTCACTTAAATGTATTCAAGGAAATTTAATGTACTGTTATTGAATAGTAAGAGTACTTCAAGCAACCTTTCCCAGGAGGAGAGGAATCAAATCATAGAATTGTAGTCATAGAATGGTTTGAGTTGGAAGGGCCCATCAAGATCATGTAGTTCCAACCCCCTGCTATGAACAGGGACACCATCCACTATACCACGTTGCTCAAAACCCCATCCAAACTGGCCTTGAACACTTCCAGGGATAGGGGATCCACAGCCTTCCTGGGCAATCTGTTCCAGTGCCTCACTATCCTCAGAGTAAAGAATTTCTTCCTAGTATCTAATCTAAACCTGCCCTATTTCAGTTTACAGCCATTCCCCCTTCTGTTACTGTCCTGATAGAGTCCTTACCCATTGTTCCTGAAGCCCCCTTTAGGTGCTACTATAGGAAGACTGCTATAACGTGTCCCTGGAGTCTTCTTTCTTCTCCAGACTCAGACAACCCCAGTTTTCTCAGCCTGTCTTCAGAGAGAGGTGCTCCAGCTCCCAGTCATTTTTGTGGCCCTTCTCTGGGCTGCAATGGGTCCATGTCCTTCTGATGTTGGGGGCCCCAGCTGCAGAGGGTGGGTCTGTGAGAGCAGAGCAGAGGAGGAAAATCATGTCCCTTGACCTGCTGGTCACGCTTCTTTTGACACAGTTGTCTTAAGTTTCCATGGGAGAAGACATTATGTTTATTTAAACTTTTTAACTTGAGATGGTTGGAGTGGGTTGTGGGAACAGAAGATGAAAGAGTTTTCAAAAACTTATTGCTCTGATGGTGTAATTTGTGTGTCGATTAGAATGCAGGTTGGTACTAGGGTCACTGAAACAGTAGTGGAAGAAAGGCTGAGCTTCATTGAAAGGCATGGCTATGCATTTGTGATCCTAGTTCAATAACACTGCAAGTCTCAGGTTATTATGTGACCTCAAAATAAAGTACTGCTCTATACTTGTCCTAGTCATACAGACATTTCTTGAACACCTTGCACTACCACAGCTGAGATATAGTATTGGCAAGGCCTCTAGTTTGGATCACTTGTTCACATTTGTGTTCTTATATTCAGTGAAATCTAAGTTGCTCTCTGTTTCTTTTCATCAAAACAGATGCTCCAAATTCCCCTATTGGCATTTCATAACTGGTCATTACTTTCAGTTACTTGTAAGCAGGTGCTTGGTGTGATAGTCTGATTTTCCAGGAACTAAGTGTTCAGGTTAATGCCTCATGAAATAATTCACATGGTTTAGCTGGGACTTGAGTAGCCCCCATCCATCTGGTAAATATGGTGAAAGGTTTGAAAATGGATTACTGGAAGTTTTGAAGAATGTATTACTTGGATCCCCATGTGCCCAGTCACCTCCAAAAATCCCCAAACAAAAACAAACAAGAAAACTTCATCTGAGTGTTAGAATTATATTAAGTTAATGCCATGTTATAAAAAATGTAACATTGTATATACTGGATGTTAAAAAAAAAATAAGAAAAAACCCATGAACCACACTCCTTATTGACATGCACTATTAACTGTTTATTTTTAATACTGGAGCTGCTCTCAACCTTCCTCCTAATATTGGGAAACTTGTAAACAGTAGTGTTTTCTGAAACAAGGCTGTTTCGAAGCTTTGAACAAACAGGTACAAGTTTAATGGCTGAAAGAGCATTTAGGAGCTACTGTTTCATTGTCTTTATTACAGGTGGAAAACTTTTGTTTCATCCGTTTAGTGTTCAAATACACTCACTACTACTGTGCTGTAGTTTTACGAGGTAAATGCAGGCAGGCACTTTGTCAAAGCAATTGCTGACCTAGAAAATCTGTATCTTCATGTTATTGCTTAAGGAATATTTTATGCTTTGCTTCAGTCAAATAGGTCAGTAATTTTAGCACATTCATTCACTAAAAACTAAAGTGAAGAAATTTCTGTGGTGTCATTATGATGCATTCAAAGTAAACGGCTCTTTATATTTTCACTTTCTGGAACGTCATAACGTCTCATGACTCAGCTGGCCTGTCAGATAGGCCAAGGCAATTTTTTTATGTTCAGGAGTATTTTTTAAGACTACTGGATTCTCTTTTAAAAACTAGTACCTTTCTGCAGAAAGCAGTGTGCAATTTACCTTAGTCTAGTTCTTTGGTCAAGGCAGCTGACATCCACCCTCAATGACAGAGGCTATCAGAGTTAAAAGAGATATTTACACTTGTAGATTTTTTTTTTCTCTTCAGCTCTGCTTAGCTTAGGAGAAGCAATACTGGTTCTTTTTTCCTTCTGCTTATTAAGCAGAAAAGCAGTTGAACAGGTGCAAAAGGAAACTTCCTGAATTTAATCTAAAAGTCACAGTATTTTTAGTATTAGTATTTGAGCAAAATGAGTCTCTTCTGGAAGGAGAGCATATAGAAGCATAAAGTCTGATTTAAAAGGGAGTAACTGAAGATCTCTGTTTATAGTCTGTATGGCTGCAGACATTCGATATGTTTGCAAATTGGTTACTAGCAAAATGCTTTTTCTTTTTGCAGAAGGAAAAAGAAAAAAAGAAAGAAGAAAAAAAGAAAGAGAGGGAATCAGAAAAACCATCAAAACAGCTGACAGCTGAAAAGGTAATAAGAGTTTCTTTTTTCCAGTTATTTAAAAATGCACATAGTATTAGATATGTTCAGAGATTTGGGGAAAAAATTCATGTGTGAGTGTTTGTGTATATATATGTGTATGTGAGTTGTAATCTGGTTAATCTACATGAATTGTTTGCTTGTGCTGTTACTTGCATGCAAAGGTTGAGTGACCATACAAAGAGGAATGTGTTTAGGAGAAGAGAGAAATGGGTTAAGCTTTATTAAATTTTAGGCTCAGACCGTAAGTCTCATTAATGTTTTTAAGATCACAGAACAGTCTTGAGTTGGAAGGGACCCACAAGGATCACCAAGTCCAGCTGTTAAGTACACAGCCCATAAGGGGGTTGAACCCCCAGTCTTAGTGTTGGTGGCACCATGCTCTGACCAGCTGAGCTAACCTCAGGGTCATGGACCACAGCTATTCTTGCACAAAAAATTGTCAGTTTTATTGAGTCCTGTATTATCATCTAATGCTGTCTTTGATAAATGAATCCATTTTAAACATGAATATATAATCTGTAGAATTTAGTTAGTAACTCTAAGTAACTTAAAAATTTGCAACTAAAATCATGTCACAAAGCATGACAAGCAAGCAACTTAAGTTGCTTCTTTCCACAGCTATGTCAAAGCATAATGAGCAGCCTTAGCAATGTAGGTGCAATTAAAATTTCATATGCACTTCTGCAGAGTTAATATTAAACAAAAATGAAATGGGCAATTTTAGTATTAAATATATTAATTTCTTTTAATACATATGTTGTCTCTTCAGTCTTGTGAATCCATTAATACGCTCAGGTAGTGTAGTCTTCAGAATGCATTGGAGTCTCCATCTGTCAGTCTATTCTCTGATAGTGCTGTGTTACAGTTATGAAAAATATGTGTTCACAACAGGATTGCAGATGTATTTCTAATTCAGTTTTCAAATAGAGTATTTTTTCATTTTACATGATAAAAGAATATACAAAAATATATACATGCATACTTGGAGGGGAAAAAATGCCCCTCCCCAATACAAATATAATTTCTCCTAAATTAGAAAGCAAGTTTGGAACGAGTTAGTGCAGAAACAAATTTTGTTATGACAATTTGTGAAGCTTCAGTGAGTTACTGTTATTGATATGGTATGAGGTTAAAGTAAGTTTATGAATGACAATAAAAACATTAGAATTGTTGATTACTGAAGCTTTATGAGGGTGTCCAGCCAAGTTAAATTTTTTATTTTGGTCCTTATAATAATATACTTCAGTTATACAGGTTAAAAATATTTCTGTGGTTTGGAAACGTTAACTTTCTAGAGCCCAAAGATGTACTTTTGGACTGGGAGAGAGGGTTTCCCTTTGAAAGGATGTGTGAACCTTGTTATGTGGCTGGGAGTATTTGATTGAGGGGAAGTGACAGCAGAACATAGTTACAGCTGAGGGATTATCCTACCACTTGAAATAAAAAACAATTCTAATGCCACTGATTAGGTTTACATTTAAAAAGTCATTAGATTACCACTTAATGATTAGGCAAATAAAAAGAAGTATTTTGATTTTAAATGCTTGTTCTATAAAATGTGGAATTTGGTAAATATATCTGTATTAGATAATAGTGCTGTTGTAACAGCTGCAAAATGTTTGAAGTACTGCAGCATATTTTATTTCATTATTAATGTGTCAGCATTGTCTGCTCAAATGGAGCTCATCTGTGTATCATCTTTTTAATTTAAGGCATTCTTCAAGCTTGGCCTTTTAAAGGATCATTTATTTAAAATAAACTGCTTTTAGATTGTAAACTTTATATATTTTAAAAGTCTAGTTGCTTTCTGTAATCCAAATGAAAGAGAGCTGTATCATATGTTTGTTTCTTCTGGACAGTGTTGGTGAAGTAGAAAATGAAAAGGTTTTATTTTCATACATGGAATAACACATTGCTGCTTTTGTGGTGTGATTCTGCTTTAGGGAGCTGATAAACGTTAGCATTTCAGTGATAATGATACACTTCACATCCAGGTAGAGACTGGCTATATGATCTTTTAAATATTACCTCCTGAATCAGCAGGGGAGTGCAGGCATCTTGACCATAGTATCTGTCGTGTTTTCAGCAACCACATAAAGATGGTTATTTTTCCCATTTCCTGGAGGAGGAAACAATATGAGAAGTCTGCACACTTCATCTGTAAAGTCACTGGCTGCCTTTGCTACAGGCATGGTTTCTCTCCAGTCTAGTTATTCCAGGCTTGGAAAGTTAGTAAATTAAAAATATGTGAGCAAGCAGTTGGCAGTTCTGTCACAATTTTGAGGCCTATTTTAGATTAAGGTAATTCAAGCAGTGTTTTAGCGATCCTATAGAAGAATCAATAAAGGTGGAAAAAATTAGAGGTCTTAAACTGGTAAAAGGATGAATCTAGAGAAAACTTCAGATCTATTCTCAAGTGTCATGTACTTCTACAAGTCTTCAGTTCCTAGTGACTTCGATTTTATCTTTTGTTGAGATTAAATTTCTTAACTCTTAAAACAGGACTATGCATCCCAAAAATTTAAAACATTCACATTTAATTCTCATGTTCTTATCTGTGCTTCATAGAGCTGCCTAATTTGTTCCTACATCCATTTGAGAGTCTTTCTCTTGTCACTAACTAGATCTTGTCACTAACTGATCCTAAGCCTTTAGCAAGCCAAATGTCTAGCATGATTTCTTTTGCATTTTCAAATATTACCGAAAGCTTCTAGCACTGATTCAGTAAGGTTATGATCCCAATATTGCATTAATGTGTCAGGTAATTATGGCATAGAAGTTTCTTTGTTGATGATCATGCTTTGATAAACAAAGATCATCTTTTAACTGACTTACTAATAGTGAGTTTTCTTACTGAAATTCCTTTTCAGTAAAGAATCGTGCTTGAAGTGAGTTTCAGGGGAAATATTTTTTTGTGAGCATTCACATTGGAGGGTTCAGATGCAGTGTAGAATTTCCTCAAGATCAGAGAGATCTACTACAGATAGTGAGTAGCAAGGATAGTTGTTTTACTCTATTTTTCTGTGCTATTCACTTTTTCTGATGAAATTACTGAGTAATTTGTAATATAACAAGGTCTTACTATGTCAGCTAATGATTGAGTCTAGTCCAGTGATTAACATTTTGTTGGAAGCAGCAAACAGCGAGATGTTCCACATCAGATCTGCAGAACTCTTAATAAAACACGCCACATTGCCAAGCTACTGGCAGCTGTAAGGTTTTTTTCAGTCTAACTGAAGAAAGAAACTTGTGTAAGTTACCTGGGGTCTTTCCTCCTTCTCTCTTTATGCTATTTCCACAGTTGAAGGTCTCAAGTTTCTTTTGCTTCTGCCTGAAAAAGCCTTATCCTTACAGTTACTTTGGAGAAACAGGGAAAATTCTGCAAGAAGACTGCTGTAACAATTATTACGTAGTTTCTCATGACATGAAAACTGGGGCCAGGTTATTTGAAGCTGATGTGTTTACTAAAAGCCCAGCTTGTTTGGAAGCAACAGAAGTGCAAATTTTAGCAATATTAAAAATGTGTTGAATTGCAGGAATAAATAATCAAACTGAGCTAATTGTGTGCTTCATAATATTTCCTATGGGCCAACAGCAGGATAATAGCATGAGGCAGACTGTTAGGTAGAGAAAGCAAGTTTTGTATGTTCTGTACAGACAATTAAGATAAAGAGATTTTAAATTGACTAAAAAACCAAGTCTCGTGTTGTAAGAGTGCGTTTTATTAGTGGGGAGGGGAAGAAAGTCTGTAGTTTGGCCACCAATCTTACATGTTTTGTTGGTAGTTACACATGAAAATCTTTAATTTGTAGTCAGGAAAAAACAGCTAGACTTTTGCTAGCCATTTTTAAACTTCATCATCCTGCCTGCCCTTTCATCAGCTGCTGAGGAGCTTTCCCTTCTTGTTAATTACTCTTTTGCACAGCTGAAGGTAGTGAAATTTCCCAAATCAGCCATGATACTCTTTTTTTTTTTTTCCTTTCTTTTCTGCATAAGCTGTCTAAACGAGTTCTCTGTTCAGGAACAGATTAAACCACTGAACTCCTTTTTTATTTCTAGCATGAGTAGAATTTTTGTTCTTGTTTGATTAATTGGATATGTTCAATTTAGAATTATTTGGTGATTTTAAAAAGAATATGTAGCATAAGTATTCTACTTGTGTGTGAGAGAGCTCTCAAAGCCTCATAATAGTTTTCTGAAATAAAATTTAAACTGTGTAGATAATTTAGGTAAAGTTTCTTCTTGGAGCACAGAGGAGCACTTAAGGTAAGCTCCATGCTATTCTTCATGCAGCAGGTTGGAGCAGGCTCTGTGTACACTCCATGTGCTTTGTACCTGTATTCCACTGAAAGGAAGCACAGAAAAGGAGGAGATGAGATGCTTTTAGGTCATTCGGGGTGAGCAATCAGGGGCATGGCTGGGACATGGCCAGTGTGTGAACTGGGGAGACTGTGTGCCCCCAGGATAAACAAGAGCTGCAGAGTGAACTGAGGAATATTGTTCACAAGCTATCAAAGAGTATAAGGAATAATACTTCATTTAGTAAAGGCATTTGCTTTGCATTGTTTAGAACACAGAAGGTGGACTGAGCTGTATGAATGACTTCTTGAATTTCAGAGCAACTAGGACTGTTTAGTTTTTTTCAAGACGTATCTGTTTATGTACTTCTGCAGTACAAATTCAAATAAAAAAGGCATCACTAGATATGATGCTATGAGGCTCCCAGAGTAAAGAAGAAGAAAATTGGTGTGCCTAAATGTTCAGATTTTTGAAGGGTTCAACTTTTTATGTAGTCTAATTTTTAAATAAAGAAAATATGGTGTGCAACAGTGCTAACAACCCAGAAGTTACTTGGAAAACTGTCCACAGAAAACTCGGTAAGTATTTCTAATATCCAAAGTTAGAAAGTTCAGCTAAGTCCGTAATACTGAATGCTTTGGAAGTGTTTGGGTTCAGCACTGTGTAGCTTTCTCCACAGTTTAGTTCAGAGGTTTCACATGAATTGAGTACTGTCATGAAAATATTGTGATGTTTTCACTGTAAAATACTGCATGATGAGGACCATCTAAGTTATGAAAGTAAACTCCTTTAAGACAAGATTGTGTCGTACTGGGACAGTAAAGTTAAATGGTTAGGATATAAAGAACAAACTACTTTTTTTTTTCACTAAGTACTTGTGCATTTCCAAACTAATATCAACACTCAAAGATTTTTTCATTCTACTGAACATATCAGGATGATGAATGGTTCTGAAGGACTGCAGTAGTTACACTTGATTAACTGAAGTTCGATATGATACTCTGAGTTAGTTTGTTTTATTATATTGCATTTTGAATTTGAAACTGGCTCTTGTTTTTGTATAAAATTATTTTAAGTGACAGGAATGGGTCAGTTGGAGGTTATTT